GCTGCACCAGCTTGTTACTGATCTTTTCTCGGTTCTGCAAAAAGGGTATCCGATCTCGCCCACGCTATATACAGCGCGATTTATTTGCTCTGCCACCCCGAAGGCGGATCAAGTAGAAGCCGAAACGGCTTACACGTTGTGCATATAGTAGTTGCGAATTTTCTTCAATGTGTCACTGAGCAAATGGCTTCAGTGGCTTCGGCAGTCACCACTGCCAAAGACAATATGACCGCACGTACCAACTGAAAATACTTTGTAATTTACTTTGTACCACTTTTAAGAGAGAAATTTTTATTCTGGTTTTTATGGGCAAGGTTAGGGGTTCCCTTCTTTGAGGCAAGGTTTTGTTTCGAATATAATGGACCTACTTTCTGGTATAATCCAATGACGCATTTGCACTGTTTTGAATCGCATGCTGGCATAAGAGTAAACTTCTGAGTTTAAGAAAAAAATTTATCGCCCCTGCTCACCTCTGGTTATGAACCATGATTGAAAAAACACGATCCCGGGTACAGGCGGCCGACAAAAGCTTTGTCAGACAAATCGCTGGATCAACGCATCTCGACATAGTATAACGTACAGATATCCAAGAGGGCTTTGATATGCAGTCGCTGCTTCTCCAGACTGAAAACCCACAGTTGCGATGACTCCATAAAGGAAGCCGAAACAGCTATAACTCGAATAGCTGTAGCTAGGCCAAAGATCCCGGGAATTCCAAGAACCACTTTTGGCAGGTATGTCGACGGGCTCTGTTCCACACCCGGTTTACCTTCTGACGGATCTCAGATGCTTTCACAGGATCGAGAGCAATGGAAACAGTCTCCGCGACCCGAAAGGGTAATCGGCTATCGATACTGTCTGATTGAAATTTATATATGCATCAGGTCGTTTCCGGTGATATGGTATTTCGTTAGTGCGTTGGTAGTCATACCGAAAAAATAGGGTAAAACACAGTTTACTTATACACAACGCAAAAGATGCTGTGGCCAGTCCTGTGACTGACCAATACCGATGTCTCGGCCCGTATCTCATGGGCCTTCTTCTTGGTGAGTTGTTGGTGAAGTTTCGTGAATCTGTCGGTCGTCCACAGCAGTATATGGTTTCGGAACTGTTTCACGCTCTGTTTTCATCTCACTTGTTGAACGATGTTCCCAGCTGCTAGTAACGATCTCGCGCCAATCGTGAAGCATGGCAAAGAAAGAAAGAAAGCAAAACAGACATCATATATGGTTCCCATTCATTATGCCGCTCTTACCTACGGAAGGAGCATGGAGAGAGTTAACCTCTAGGTATCCCACGCCCTGTCATGGTTCACTGGAGATAACTTCTACACTTGCAGTTCTGAGGACCATTTGAGCAGGCCCAACCATGGCTTTTGTAGCATCTGTATCTGCAGATAAACCTACACACGTTTCTTGGCTGCGTGATTTATTATTCTTACCTCCTAACTCTTCGAAGTCCTATTTTATCTTATTTAGCCCATATTCAGTTTCTTTAAATGTACCGTATTAGCAATGCGCAGAGGCTGGCTTTTCGAAAATTCGCGTTGCTTCAGTTGTAGTAGGCCATTCTCTGATGCCTCACAGTTCGTACTTAGTTTTTATTTTGAGGAGTTCAGTCCACTGTAGTCTAGAACAGTCCGGTCTGTAGTACTTCAGAATTTAATAGTTTATTTGAAAATAAAATGCTACTATATGCCACATCCCTTCAGAGGAATTTTCATGCTCAGGTTCATATGCAGCACTAAACAAACCTGTAAACAGAAGCGACAGAGATCATAATTAATAATTAATGTTCATGAATCTACTCTCTTTGTAAATTAGTTGTTTCTCATAATTCCCATTTACTCCAGTTCCTCGTTCCTACAATCTTTAATTATGTACATCCATCAGCATTGTGTCAGCGTCATTAGAGATCTGCATATTAACTGTAACTGGTTTTAATGAGCTCCTTGCATATATAACACTGATTATAATTCTAGAAAGATCTATATTGCTGAGCAATCATATCGACAGCTACGTTTGTCCAACCATCAATCAGTCCACTACCAAAGATCGTACAAGAATTCACTAAGAAACTGCGTTTCACGTTTCAGAAAAAAAAACATTGCTCAGAGTTGCAATGTCGATCTGTCTTCACTTTCATGATGCAGCTCACATCGGCAGTACTTAAATTTGAAGCTATAAAAATAGCATTTTTATGTTCCACGGATTGAGGGCACTAACATAATAGATAAGTAGTTTTATTGGCACTCTAGAAGTGGTCACGTTGTGTCAGATGGGAGCGCTTTACTATTGCAGAAAGGATTTACCCACTTGCTGGCTGGTTACAGATCGGCGCATTATCCCACTATAAAGGAAAATTAACTGAGTTACCATTAGCATCATCAATAAAGCATAAGCGCTTTTGGTTTGAAGGCGAAAGGTCAATTCTTGAGCAACTTTCGACACCTCATTATTAATGAAGCTCAAACTGATGAAAGCAACTGTTTTTCAAGTAAGAAAATAGACAGAGACAGGGATCATAAAATACGAGACAATAAAAACCAGCCCAAAGTGAGGTTCAGGTTTATCACATGAAATGCATCAATGAGGTAGCTAAAATAGAAGACAATGATAAGACGGAACATAGACCAGCCCACCACCGTATTCATCTGAAGCGGCGATACCGCTGAGTAGCATTTCGTTGTCACGTGCTCGCATACTTTCTTACGTCAGACGCCACTCAACCTTCGAAATACTTGGTTATGTTCTAGAAACCTAAATGTGCTTACAGCATGAAAATGTGATAATCCACCCAGTCAACAATTTTCACTGCACACTTTCCGTTTGGGCTGAAGGTACTTCAGAATGGGCACCTTCCAAATGGTTCTCGTCATCTGCTTAACCGAACAAGCTCTTTGGAACGAATTCCAGAGCGCGAAAGTACACGTTTTCCAGCATATTATAACCATCTGTTTCTCGGTCTGCCGTGGCCGCTTTCCAGGCGGAACGAGTTTCTCTGTTAATTTTTTTCTCTGTTATGCTAAGCAAGTGCTCAAGTCCTTGCTTTTGTCATATCTCGATTTGAAGCAGAAGCGGCTAAAGAGAAAGTTCTAATTTGCCTCATTTCTCTGGTTGAGTTCAGGATCGCATTGTTTCTTTCTGTATTAAGCGTCATTGGCCATGGGTATGGATACGCACACTGGTGGCTTCACGGTCTCATCTGAATCGAAAACATAATCAGCATTTTTTAAACATAACCGTAGTTATTTAGATATTTAACGCGCTTCTCAAAAAATCAGGTTTCACGATGCATCGCCCCGCCACCTTGCTCTTAGTTGCCTATTGCCTATGTAGGGGGGGGGTCATTTAAGTAGACCACGGCTTCATTGAGCACCTGCAATGCCGGATGAATTTCACACCAAATTATTTCGGCCTACGAACATATTGTGATGTTAACTGGGAGGAGCTGCATGTATTATGTAATTCTTAGCCAATAATTATTCGCTGTTATTCGCTAATGCCCTAAAAAACTTTAAGCGCAGTCCGCAGATTACAGTAGCGCAGGATCATCTGTGCGCCTCATTCCTAACATTGTGTTTTCTATCACATACGGCTTTCGTTTCACTCAGAGAGAGACAGTTGCTAGTGCATTTGCAGTTTAGAGCTTGAGATCAATGCCCAAAACGAGGAATAATATTTTTCTACTTATCGCAGCAGCATCGAGAATGAAGCATCAACGAAATCAGATGGTAATGTCAATGTACTCAGAAATTCATACCGATATTCACAGCCAATATTAAAATAAGAAGTTTCCTAGAAAGAAGGTCTTCCTGATCGATGCTTATAGGCGCAATGAACATTCCTCCTTAGAATCTTAGCTATGGCCAAGAATAACTCTTTACACTATGTTTCTTTGGTGCTTATAAACCTTCGCTGAAAGATTTCTATTCAAGAACACTTCCTTTTTAAGCATAATGTCAGTTTGCCATTATAGACTATCGTGTATGTGCAAGAACTCAGCAGGCATCTAAAACTGATTGCAAAAAATCAAGGCCGATATAGACTAGTTTTGCAAGGTTTAGCACGTCACATAGTACAACATGATTCCATCCATCATCGAGGTCTGTCCTTAGAAATAATTTTCTTCCCGATTCCTTTCTACGCGACATAGATCATTATATTAATTAATTGATTCTTTCTGTTATTCCTTTAATACAACTTTTCTAACGTTGTTGTCTGAAATAAGGATCCCTAACACAACACTCATAGTTTCTGTCTCCAATTGACGGTATTTTCAAGGAGAGAAGATGTACCCCTTTTCTGCAACATCCTTTTCAGTTCGGTCCATTATTTCATACTACCTTAGAGCCAATTATTATTGACTTATTGCGTTAACTTTTGATGCTGTTATTTGACCATGTCTTTAACCGTGCAACAAATGCGAGGGAGTGGTTATTAGAATCACGTAAAATAACACATTTGTGTGATTAATAAATCTCTAATTCTGAATTGTGTCTGAAACGTACCGAAGCACAGAAACGAAACTCTCCTAGGTTGTTGCTATTGACTTTCAACAGCAACCGCAGTTCTTTGTGGAACTTGCCTATGCGACACGGATTGCAACTTCTATTCAGTGTTTATGCAACCTGCACCTGTCATGTATTATGCATTACTTAATAAATCATTTGACCAATGGAAGAATTCGGATCACAATCTGTATTTTACCGTGCCTTTTACTTTAAACAGAAAACATCGAATTTTGGCATTATATCCTAGGAATGATCCACACCAGACTCGATGGAAAATCCCTAAGTGCAGAATTGACGAGAGCGAAGAAGATATGAGAAAGAGCAGAAATATAAGCATCTGCATCTGACGCAGTCATTCAATAGTAGATGGATCCTTAGGCTTATGCCGATCATGACTGTGGTCTCGAATTTATATATCACGGTTGGCTAAAGATGGGACACCTTCTGAAAGTGAACCGATTTGAAGAGCAGGCATAAACGAGTGTTGACGAGGGATACCTCGAAGTTTAACGAAGATGAGAGGAAAGACAGAAATAGAAGTATTGATCGTGAAAACAGACATATTTCTCAATCCTGTTCTACCTCCAGACAGGCATTGAACATTGCTATCATGACAAAGCTGTCGTAATAGTCAAGAAACTGATGCCCCTTGATTCAGTAACTTCACCCGAAACAGATGTGAAATTTTTCTTATGAGAACAGCCCACTTTTTGCGGATATGTTTGAGTGCGATCTAAATCAGAAGCACCTAGTTTTCCGTAGTTTTCAGTGATGAGCACATTTTGCCTGTACTGCTTTACTCACTGGCTCAGCAGACGCGAACGTGTTCTGTCCTTAGACGTTTTTGGATCAGCTCTTGAAGGGGACATTAGAACTTGCTTATTCTGCTTACTACTTACTATCCATCGTTTCAGTCGCCTCCTCGTATTGATCAACAAATGCTAGCAGGAGGATTTCAGAGATTCCTTCTACATTTCGTATGTCTTAAACTCAGCAGTTCTCCTAATGCTGAAACTCCTGTAAAATCCTGAAAAACGTAACCGATACGGTTCTGAAAGTCATGACTCAATTGAGGTCTCCTACTAAGCTCCTTTACTGAATTTGCTTTGATCTCGAAAGTCTGTTAGTTATGGCGGAAAGCAATGGAGTGATGATTCGAGCATAATATATAGATGAATAGTTTATGAACAGCAGTGCCTTTTCCGTTCTCATTCGTTAAACCATGTGAATAAAATCAACTAAAATTGCAGTTGAATGACATCTGGCCTGATTTCAACTTCATATGAACAATGGCAGAGAAACTGGCGTTTCGACCCTTCGTAAGTGTCTTCGACCGAGACGCTTCATCCTTGACCTCGCCGAAATTTTCCATGCTGATGCTGGGATGATGCTGATGCTTTGACTGCGCATACTGGTTCCGCCGCATTTGTTTGATGAGCCTCTGACCGTTTTCAAGTGCCGCGTTCCGTGCGAGGGGTACCGGGGTTCGATCGATCACCGAGAGGTTGCGACTTGCGAACCGCGTGGACCGCCAGTCATCCCTGTCCACGCCCCCTCCCCCCTCCCGGCCGCGCATTTGCCAACCTGGGGTGAAGCGACGAAACGAACGGCCAGTTTCACTCGAACGAACGCTGTGCGACCTCAGTCACACCAGATCAGTTATTTTTCTCTGCACTGCCCCAGATCAGGTTCCGTAGTTTATGGACTAAGGCAGTGACGTGTGAAACTGGCAAAACTGCGAGTGGTAGCGCCATGGCGAAGAACACAGCTGATGCGTGCGAATGCACATGTGTCGATCGGTTGCACTCGTGCGAACAGCTGTTCCTCTATGGTTTTTTCCTCACCGTTTGTCTCGTTCGATTTCTGAGGTCAAATCATCAAGAGGATTCGTCGAGCACTTAATGAAGAGCACCGAATGTGGCAAACCGCATCGCTTCACGTGCAGAAGTTCGCTAGTCATAATTCTTATGCCAGATTGTAATATTCCATAATATCGCGTTTAAGCAATCTATGGAGCTGTGCATACGACCGAGTATATCAAATTTTTAGTGATTCATCCAAGACCAAATTTCACAGCGTATTCTATCGCCATTTTGTTCCTAGTTCCAAGGAAGGCCACTTCAGCAGTACTACTAGATTTGGCCGTAGTTTCCGGAGCCGTGGCCTGTTTAAACACCCTCCTACAGGCATTTAGAAGCAAGGGGCGGTACAATAAGCCGTGAAATGTGGTTTTGGACGAGGCATTCATTATTATACATAATCGGGCATACGAACAGCTTATAATGTTTATACAGTAGCACGTAAGGAATTCCAGCTCCTGAAACACTGTTCGAGATTAATGGGAGG